ATTTCTTGCTCAAGGGAAGTTAGGCCTCTGGCCTTCTCCCTATGTCCTTGCGGGCAGGGATGTATCATTCTTTTGTAAGCCGAGTGGTACTCGGAGCAGTAAGGGTGGTTAACTCTGTTAGTCATTTCCTTGTCGGTGACGGCCGGAGGGTGTCTGAGTCTTAGCGTCTTTGGACGTAGAGGAAAGGTCATTCCCTAACTCATTTAAGTCAGTGTGTTTCCCACACAGTGTGCTTTCCGTTAACTTTCGGAGTTGTTTCCTTGATGGTTTGCTAGACTTGGGTATGTATCAATAAGGACGTCAATCTTCCCCAAGGGGGGGAGAGTATCGCGAATGTGACTTCGGGTATCGAAAGATACTTGTCAGCTAGTCCTTACGGACACTCTTTCCTTACTGCCATGACGGCAGGAGGTCGGTACAGTTGGTTCTCTTTATCGTTCCCACTTGAGCTAGTTGAGAAACTGGTTAATAACCATGCACTTAAATTGGATAAACATAAGGTAGGAACCCTATGTGTTTCTTGCTGAGCATACTCGGCCTGGTTTGAGAAACTCGTGTCATTGATTTGCACTTGCTAGTATCAAGAACCCCCGCGATATTGAGACTAGTCCCTCAATATTCGCTAGATGATAGCTTACTGTGTTTGCCAAACACTTTCGCTATCACGTCCTTTGTGTTGGTCTCATTTTGGTCCCAAATGCTATTTATGGAAAGTGTCTAGATTAGCTCATTTAGCATATTTACGGAATGTAGAGATCGGCCTGAACACAATGGTGTTCGTCCCGTGTCCAAATTCGCAATCTTAAGACATTCCATATTTAGTAAGTTTCGGACTTGTCCCAGAGACTAACTCCTGGTACTAAGGGAGGCTTGGGGTGAAAGCCCAAAGCGTGTGTCCCTCAAGGGGGGGGGGGCTGTGGGGGGTTCCAAATGTATAGTAGGGATAGTGGTTGGAATGCATGTCCGACCACCTGAGACATTAGTTTGGCTCCCACTGGGCTGTGTCGCTCCTTGTTCTGCGTCCGGCTTGGGTCTAAGCCCAAGCTCCATACTGCTTTAGTCGGTGGAATACCCTCCTTCTCGCGTTAGGCCACCAGTATGCCAAAATTGTGCCAAACTCCGTCTGACACCATTTTGCGTGCAGGTGCTAGATACGGGGAGTTGGTGCTCATGGGATTGTACCGGACCCTCGTTTCGTAGCGCAATGGGCTTGGAGTTCGGCTCCAAATTCATGTGTGCTACAAATTTAGGGTTCACTTCTGAAGTTTCTTACTTCATATGAAGCCAAATGAAATACAGGATGTTATAACCAACACTTTTTCAAAACTTTATAGGACTTGTGTATACACTTACCCATCTTTGATAATGCTTTTCGACTAATATAAGACTATGAGATATCACTTTTCCTACTTATAACTATACTTTGGTTCCTATCAAAAATAATTTTGTTCCAATGGAGGTCAACACTATTGCTATATGCATTCAAGGACATGGACAAGAACATGGTCATAGCTATGATGTTCGTTGTTAGGTATGTGATGAAGTTGGTCACACATATCAGCATTGTTAGCATTTCCTGATTGACATCTTCTATTTCATAAATAAAGAGTTTGATATTAACAACATCCTATTGTTTTTCTTGTGATGAAAAGTCTTGATACTAAGGTTTTTCTATGAAATAAGATATCATACAAGTAATGAAGGGATCTTGCACAAATAAGTTAATAACCCCTCCATTATTCTTTCAGAAATACAATTAAGGGGTTTATTTGACACAAATTCATCCAATGTTTATTTTTCAGGTTTGATTTTATGACAAAAGGTCTATTATTAGCCTTTTTATGTTGGTTGATATAAGTTTTATTTTATCTTCTATTACTCAGCTTATTACCATATATTGCCATTTATATTTGTATTGTGTGGCAGAGCCAATCTTCATTCTTTATAACAATGGCCATACATGTATGTGTGCAAAATGAAATAGACATGTTTATATGATTGATTTCAAGCTTGAGTTCCAATTATTGTAAGTGGTGTCGAATCAAGTTTTTAACTTCATCCTTTATATACATTCATTACAGTGTAATCATGCCAAGTATGACTTTGAAAATTCTCCTTGTTTTATACTCCCTTATATTTTTTTCTATTCATTTCACTTTGTTTCTATTTCATCCTTTTGTTTCTACCTTCTATAACTTTTATCTCCCTATTACTTTTTACTATATTTCCTTCTTATTTTTCTATTCCCTCTTGAGATCCTTTAGGCAATTTTTGTGTTATAGTGTTTGACTAGCTAAAGCATAAATATGTTGATCTTTTCGATTTTGACAAGCTAAGGTTGCAATATGTCATCCTCTTCCAACTAGAGATGCTCATATGATCAATGTTTCTGTTTGGCATTTTTCACCAAAGGAAATCAAAATCTCAAGAGTAAATATCCAAAAGATGTTAGAAAAAAGTGTTATTTAAAATCTTTAGAATCGTTGAGCATGTGAACCTCATCTTATAACAAATCCTAATGGAAGTATTCATTTCTATATTAACTATCATCAAATGTATACCTTTTTCCTCATACTATTGATCTTCTAAACTATTTGGGGCAAAGTCATTAGTTTATTAAATTAGATTTTGCTTCTAAATATTTGACAAGTTTTGATGGCTATAGAAGATATTCCCAATACTACTTTTCATACATCATTTGGCTTGTATAAATTCTTGGTGATGCTATTTAAGTTAAATAATGCTTTGATGATTTTTTAGCAGATGATGGATGAAGTTCTTTATAATATGCCTAAGATGATTACCAACTTTATCAATGATGTTTTAATCCACTTTGAAGGGATGTGGGAGGAGCATATTTGTGATGTTTGCAAAATATTAAATTGACTATGGGAATTTAGTTTGAAGTTGAGGCAGTTAAAATATGTATTTAGGTCCAAAGACACAACTTATCTTGGGTACTATATTTTTCACAAAAGTTTGCAAGTTAATCTTGATAAACTTATGATTGTTCTAAAGTTCCCTACTCTAAAGTGTGTTAACAATATGAAATGCTTCTTTAGCAAGGTGCAATATTTTAGTCATTTTATTAATCATTTTTTTTATCATACTACACTATTATGAGGTATTATTGAAATTATCACATCATCTTTTACCTAATTTGAGGATTGCAAACAGATATTTATGAATCTCAAAATGGTGTTGATAGTTCCTCTAGTTTTGGTGCATCTTGATTACACTTAACTTTTCATCTTATGTGTGAATGTTTTTGATATTAGTCTCAACAGTGTATTGATGCAAGAAAACATGAGTGTACCTAATCAATGTCATCCCATTATGTACATCAATTATATCTTACCATCAATGGAAATAGACTACCCTAATATAGAGTTGGGGCTTCGAAAAACTTTACGCATACTTTTATAGTTTTTAGATGTTGTTAAAAGGTGATTATATTGCAATCACTTCATTATTAAAGTAGAAGAACTTGGTTGGTCATATTGTTTGGTAAGCTTTGAAGCTTTAAATGTATAACTTTAAGTTCTATGGCTAATACTAATGCTCTTTTTTAAGTTCCTTTCAATTTTTATATTCTTAATGAGCCTATTATTCTAGTATCAATGGATTTTTTGGATACAAATTTCATGCTATTGGTAATTGTTGTGTTTAATATTTAGTGTCTATAAGGTGCAAAGCTAAATTTACGTTCTCTTGATAAATTTTTTAAGGCTCAAAAGGTTGAATTGTGAATCTAAATATTCATGATGAGTTTAAGATTCTTACATCATTTGTTGATAATTTGTTATTTCGGTATTTACATTTTAAATTGCTATGAAGACAATATTTTTACTTTATGGGGCTTAATCATGATGACCATTTTCAGTTAGTAGTGCCTTTGATTTGGATTCTATATTTTCTCCATATTTATCATAACTCTTTTATTTTATGTGGGCATATAGAATATCATTGTGTGACTAAGAAACAATGCAAATGTTTCTATTGGCTAGAGATGTGATGTGACATGTGATTAGTTTAGATTCGAACAACTCACTCTTATATATAAAGTAGGGTTTTTAAGCTAATTGAATATACACATTTTTATATCTCATTTCTATATTCATACACTCATAAAATTTATATACATATAATTTCTAATATTGTATCAACTATCAATAAAACAATAAAAGTCAATAGATAATGGCATTATAGCATTTGTATTTTTATTTTTATGACTAGAAAATATTATAAACAGAAGAAGAATGTCAAGAAAGAAACTCTTAATAATTATATTCTAAATTTTTTTCTGATTAAGAAATATATAATAACCTAAAACTAAATCTGATTTTAAAAAATTAATACAAGCTCAAAATAAAAATTTCAATAAATATATTTGTAAAACAATTGAGAGCATTAATATCCTATAACTTAATTTCCAGATTGCTATTTGAATATTTATCAATTGTCCAAAATAATCTATATGAGATTCCAACTCTATAATATGCCTTGTCACAGCTGATGTGAAACATCTTTGCCAATTATAATTTTTCTCAGGTTGGCTAAAAACATTATCAAATTCTCAAGGATTACCCTCATTCTTTGTCAAAAGTTGCTGCATATAAAGACAAACTCCTTGGTGAAAAGAGTCTTAGTATGAATTTTAACTTTAAATCCCAGATTAAAGAATAATCTAAAATATGCTGAATATTATAGATATATAAAAATGGTAATGAAAAAAAAAAAAACATAGGGAGCTTTAATTGAATTTAAAATTCCCAATTTAATGCACGGCCCATAGACTTTATATTGTCCTTAAACGATTTTAAACAAGCCAAAGTTTTTATTCCAGATGCGTTGCAAGGCCGAAGGACAAGGGACCATGATGTTTGTACAAAACAACATCTATGCAGCAGCAATTCCACCAGTCCCAAGTCCTCCCAACCAAGCTAAGTTCTCCTAAAATCCTCCACATTTTCTAGCCTTCTTTCAGATTCTTGGTAGCTATGGCGGACAATGCCGACGACGCCGACAAAAGAAAGGAGAAGTTTCTTTGCGTCCAAAGAGCACAGAGCGTGCCTATGGATTTGGGCGCTTTGAATCCTTCCAATCCTCTCAATCCAAGGCGCTCGGCAGGATCTCGAACTGGATTGAGTGCTCGCATCAAATTCGCAGGAACTCTGGACAAGATCATGGGCAATTCCAAGCCGCCGCAGCGGCAGCACCGAAGAACTGATCGAGCCCAGCAGCCAGCTCTTGTCCTTGGCCCCGTGATTGGCAAAGTCACACACAACAGCGCCCGGGTTTTGATCGAGACGAGTCGCGATTCCTTCGTTACGGCTGTGCTAGAGGCGGTCCAGGAAGACATGGACCCATCGAAGAAATCCTCGTCCCTCCGCAAAGACCATAGCTGGGCCTCGTCAATCCTGCGCTGGGGAAGCCACAAGATCACGAGGAAAGCGCAGAGCGTCGCGGAGAATGGAGATTTCTCACGGCAGTCAAGGAGGAGGAGGATCAAATCCAAGAGGGCTCGTCGATTACCAGCTGGAGAAGGAGTTTCGAGCTGGAAGGCCGGGAGTGTTTCACTTTACGAATCTCAAGCCTGGCACGAGATACAAGGTGGAATTCAAGGGCTGCCTCTATTCCATCCCGGGAAGTTTCAAGACTTTGAGCACTCCGGGATCTACGAACTATAACGTCAACTTTGGCGTCATCAGCTGCAACAATGTCTATATCACACAGAAGGCTATTCCAATCCACTCGGATTTGTGGTCGCATCTCTACAGGAGTGTGAGCGCTGGAAAGATTGACTATCTCATCCATCTTGGTGATCAAGTAAGTTCTCTTCGCTCTTTCTAGAAAAAAAAACATCTCTTTATCCTGTTCTTTAAAGTTTTCATCACAAGTTTCTATTGCATATCCAAGTTTTAATTTTTGAGTGACGACTGATTTTTCATGCACAATCTAGATCTATGCCGATGTGGAGCCACAAGTTGGCGGACCAGAGCTCGACCGTTTCCAAGTCTCCAAGACAATTCTCGCGGACGTTCCTCCACTTCACCGCGAGAAAAAGAGAGAAGAGATTTGTGAGCTCTACCGCGAAACATACCGAGAAACTTGGAGCCATCCACCTACGGCGAAGTGCCTGGCAAATTGTCCAAACCTCATGATTCTCGACGATCACGAGATCCGGGATAACTGGGGAGACCTTCCCGAGGATTGGGACGAGAGCAGCGTCGAGTTTTTCATAGCTCGCTGTGGATGGATCGTTTATCTCGAGTACCAACGACAGCTTCACGAGGATGTAGATTTCTCGAGCCTGGAAAGCATTGACAAGGTAACTCCACCTCGATTGATTCATGGATAGAAGAGCACTTATGATGTTTTCGTCGATCCAGGAGTATCACTTTCATGTCCTTGGAGGAGTTGGACTTATGTTTGTGGATATCAGAGGCTCACGAACTTTCCACCGCGAGAGGGATGACGAGAACGCCTACCTTGGAACCAAACAATGGAAGGATATCTCCGGCTCTCTCTCGTCCCCGGGAGGAATTTTCAATGGAGTCTCGGCACTGCTCTTGTGTGCCACTGCTCCACTCGCCTTCCTCGAGCCCGTGATCACCAACGTCGCGGCCAAGAGAGTGAATCGTCTCGAGGATTTCAAAGGCCACTGGTCGGCCCAGCCTCACACCCAAGAACAGATTCGAATGATCGACGCGCTCGCGAGCTGGAAGGCTGCCCAAGATGGTCGTCAAGTTCTCGTCCTTGGAGGTACCTTTCCTTCCTGTGAATTGCTCGAGCTCAAACTGTGGATCCAATCCAACTAGGTGATGTTCACTGTGGAGGCCACTCGGAAGTTCTCAAGGACAACGAGGTCGTCTTCCAGCAGCTGACTTCGAGCGCCATAGCCAACACTCCTCTCCCCAAGACGGCCTATTACTTCATGAGACTGGTCGGACGCTTGGGAGGCTCGCTGAGAACCGGCTACACTTTCAAGCACTATCACTGGACGAGATCACGAAACTATGGTCTCGTGCGGGTGAAGATACTTAAAGTCGACCAGGTAAGCAATGCAGCACCAAGTTCTTCTCACCATCGCTTTCGACTTTGTGGCAGAGAAAACCAAGTTTTGCCGAGATCACCTCGCAGCTCGTCAAGGGAAAGTTCATGAGAGGAATACTGTTGGGAGCAAAAGTCAGCAGCACGAGGATAACAGAGAAGAAAAAGAAAAAGAGCAGACCTTTCAACTGTTGTGTGTCATCGGCTCACAGTACTGCTGCCTGAGTCAAAAAGAAATCAGACACACGACAAAGAGTTGCACGAGACCACGAAAGCTCATCACTTTGGACCACTTGTCACTAAATAGTATAAAGATTTCTCAGTGCTTACGCTTGTTTTTAGAAATTAGTGCTTCTTTCATCATCGATTTACGTCCATGGATCGTTCCTGGAGCTTCTTCTGTATGTAAACATCCCGTTATGATCTTCGAATCCACACTGCACATTTACATAAAAAAGGAAAGAATAAAAAAAAATACATGCAGTTTACCCCAACAAATCGCATTGTGTGCCACCAGCGAGTATCCGGCTTGGAAGGTTTTGAATCGTGACACTTGCTGGCCAGACTTTGTAGTCACTGCGTTTTCCATCTCCTCGTCCCCAAGAGTTTCACCCCGTTTCCACCACCAGGATCCGTCTCCGTGTCATATCTCCGCTGGGTCTTGCTACGTACGCTTCACGACGGCACTACTGCCCGTTATGACCGTCTTTTGCGGATTACAATCCGGTAGGCACTCACCGGAAATTGTCGGTAAAGAGTCGTCGGTGAGAAGCTCAACCGAATAAAGACCTGGATAATTGATGGTTTGCTAGATTTTGTTTTCTAATGTACATGCATCTCCAGTCTGGTCGTTCATGATCAGCTCGGAAGGCCTTCCTGCCTGTAAGTTAGGTCTTCTGGACATTCGACAGAGACAGTGCAAACTTAGAAGAGGCTTGCTTCTAGGAATTGGAAGGCGTGAAGGTCCTGCTGCCCCGTACTGGATTCCCACGGCTTGAAAAAATATTGCTTGATGATTTCCGATCCCACAGCTTACCAGAATGGTTCTTCGCGTCATTGAGAGATCTGGAATTAAGGTTTTTGGATGATACCCCCCGGGACATTCATATCTCGAGAGAATCTCCACATCGTGGAACAGGATCAACGCTCACGCCCGGGAGAATCAATCCAGCGCCATCGATTGCATCAGGTCCATAAAACTTTTTGGAGGTGCTTCCATGTCCTTGGACCACCCTCCATTAAGGTAGACCAGCTTAGTGAGTTTGAGCAATGCATCCACAAGGAAAGACTTGAGCTCGTCACAGTATCCCAAGATCTGACAGATTGGTCAACTTTCCTAATGAACCAGAGATGCTTTGAAGCCAATTTGAAGACAAATACAAAGTCCCTAAATTCTTGAGCTCCAATGCAACCTAGTGTTTCTCAGACAGAAAACCTGGAAGCATTTGAAAGGAGAGAGGCTTGGCAGTGTAGTGAGAACGGGATTTTGATCCAGGAGCAGGCAAGTGGTGCTCGAAACTCTGACCCTGTTCTTCTTAGGATGAGGCACCCCCACCAATGAAATCTTGATGTAGTTGCTCGTGAAGGTGTCCCCCACATCTTGATCTTAAATAACACTTTAGGCCCTCTTGCTCCAAGATTAGCCAACAACGCATCGTGAATCCTGTACCTCCTCTTCCCCAGCAAAAGGCATAATCTTCTTCTTCGGTAATAAGTGCGTGATTCTTGAGCCTTTACAGAACATTCACCGCCTATGCTGTGTTGGCCCCATTAGTCAGCAAAGAAAAAGAAAGTGCTGGATGACAAGAGGCAAATGCATTGTAAACCCAGTTTGATCCGCTGCAATACCTGTTTTTTCTCATCTTGTCTCCCTGTCTTCTGCCAATACCTTCAAGAGGCCTCCACACTTATCCACAACTTGCTCCACTACTGCCTTGATTATTTGATTTTGAGCATATTTTTTATTTGAGAATGCGTGGACTGAAAACAATTTCAAGCTGTCTTTCCCATCTTCATTTTAATTGCACCTCTACTGTTGAGCACATCAAGTATTCTGGTGGTGACGAAGATTTTGCTTCCAACCTCTTGCACCACATCAAACAGATCCAAAAGCTCCAGACATTCCTCATTGTTTTGTTGCTGATCTGACCTTCTAGTTTGATTTATTTGTAAAGTTAACATTTGCATGAAGCTGTAAACGGAAATGTACCTGCCATGACTGACCGAATGTTAGCCACAAAACTGGATCGAAATGTGACTGTTAGAGCCACATGGCGTACAGCCACTTGGCTTGAGTCGCATTCCTTCAGTTTAGGGCTTTTTTAGTTTTCTTTCTCATATCCCAGGGGATTGTTCTGGGAGTGTTCTCATCTAGACCGTGAGGCCTGGCTTCTCTCATCAAGGTATCAGAGCAATAGGTTAAAAAAAATTTTGGCACGACCAATGCCATAGACACTAGGACAGGATGGCATCGTCTTCTTCCTCCAGAGACATAGAGCAGTTCAATGGGATGAATTTCCTTGCCTGGAAAGAACGTGCATAGTTTTAGTTCATGAGGTGGGGACTCTGGCCTGTGGTATCTGGATTGAGAAAATGCCCATCCAAGGATAATGATGACATAGATCCATATAACAAGTGGAAAGATCTGGATGCTAGGGCAAATGGAGCATTAGGTGGAGGACTCGGCCCTCTCTACAGTGTCCACGTGAATGTGGAGAAGAGTTCTGCTAAGAATTGGAAGTCAATTTGTGAAATTATGGGAGTGGACCTACAAGAAGATGTGGATGTGATTCTTTGTTGCAGTGAGCTATATAGCCTGGAAGAGTAGCCACACGAGCATGTGCAAGATTACATCACCAGGCTTCAGCACAAAGTGGTGGAGATTCAACTGCTGGATCTAGAAGCTGTTGTGACAGATCAAGAGTTTAATGCAGTTCTGTTTAAGGGGCATGTAACTCATGCTATGAAGTCTCATCTTCGTTATATCAAGAAGATTCCCGACATTACACAGCGGCAGATTTTTGCTGAGCTTATCTAGCATGAGAAAACCGTTATAGGTGAAGGCAATGCTGTTGAGCAGGACGGGATTGCCATGGTGACTCGTGGTAATTAGCATAGGGCACTCTGTCTTTAATCGACTTGGAAATAAGCACTCCAACAGCACTGAGGAAAAGCCAGCACACCAAGTGAGAATTCAATTTGAAGTGTGAGATGTGTTCAAAGCATGGGCACCTGAGCAAGGATTGTCCAGTGAAGAAGCATTGCCATGAGACAAAATTGAAATCTGAGCGTGGAACCACATTTTAAAACTTGACATCGAGATGATGGTAATGATGAAGACTCTTCCACTACGGCCAATGGCTTGGCAAGTAGAGGTGGATACCACAAGCCGTGTTCCTTGGCTGGATTTGGCAGCAACGAATCACTCAACTTTTGACCGTGGAGATGAGGAAATGCACTGGCCAAATGTGACTCACAGATAACAGCTTGTTAGCAGTTGAAGGTGTGGGCACGATTGAAGTGCGTCCACCCACAGGCTTGGTGGTTCCAATCAAGCATGTGTGGTACATCCCCAAGGCTCAACATTCCTTGGTGTCCCTCAGACAAATGATGGAGCAAGGATTCAACTTGGAGTTTTGTGGTGATCATGTTAAGATCACACATCCAGAGGTTGGACATGTGGCTTCAGCAAGCAAGATAGGACGACTGTTCCAGATGGATTGCGAGGTTTGTGTTCCAGGGAAGCTGCTAGCTACGATGACAGTGGCTACTGCGAGTTCATCTTCAGGGGGAGCTGCAGATACCCAAACTTGACATCGTCAACTTGGCCATGTGAATCACAAGATGATCCAGCAGTCCACATGGTTGATGGCTTGGCCATCACGTCTTTTTCAATGCCATTATGTGAGCCATGCATCATGGGAAAGCAGCATGGTGAGGTGTTCAACTCTGGCAGGAGTGTTCAGGAGTGACACTCCCCTGACACAAGTGTTCACCAACTGTGACACAAGTTCGGCTTGTGGTATCCACCTCTACTCCTTGAGTCATCCATGACAAGTCATTGGCTAGTCTTCATCATCACCATCATCTCAGCATCAACTTTTAAAATGTGGTGCTGCACCTATGGAAGATCCACGCTCAGCTTTCAATTTTGTCTCATGACGATGCTTCTTCACTAGACAATCCTTGCTCAGGTGCCCACACTTTGAACACATCCCACACTTCAAATTAAATTCTTGCTTGGTGGCTGGCTTTTTCTTGGTGCTGTTGGAGCGCTTATTTCCAAGTCAATTAAAGACAGAGGAGCGCCCTGCTTGTGCTTGCTTGGCAATCCCATCTTGCTCAACAGCATTGCCTTCACCTATAACAGTTTTCTTGTGCTGGACGAGCTCAGCAAAAATCTGCCGCTGTGTAATGGCGGGAATCTTCTTGATATAACGAAGATGAGACTTCATAGCACGAGTTGCAAGCCTCTTAAACAGAACTACATTAAACTTTTGATCTGTCATAGCAGCTTCTGGATCCAGCAGTTGAATCTCCACCACTTTGTGCTGAAGCCTGGTGATGTAATCTTGCACATGCTCGTGTGGCTACTCTTCCAGGCTGTATAGCTCACTGCAACAAAGAATCACATCCACATCTTCTTGTAGGTCCACTCCCATAATTTCACAAATTGACTTCCAATTCTTAGCAGAACTCTTCTCCACATTCACGTGGACACTATAGAGAGGGCCGAGTCCTCCACCTAATGCTCCATTTGCCCTAGCATCCAAATCTTTCCAATCTTTCCATTCGTTGTATGGATCTGTGTCATCATCATCCTTGGACAGGCATTTTCTAGATCCAGATACCACAGGCCAAAGTCCCCACCTCATAAACTAGAACTGTGCACATTTTTTCCAGGCAAGGAAATTTGTTCCATCAAACTGCTCCATGAAGAAGATGACACCATCCTGTCCTAGTGTCTATGGCACTTGTTGTGCCAAAAGAAATCTAACCCATTGCTCTGATATTGCTCTAATCTCGGATAATCAATTAGTGATTGCTCTTTTATTCCAGGAAGGATAAAGCATATACAAATAAAATACCACTACATTAGAGAACAAGTGATAGGATGAGAGCTAACACTTAAAAGTATGTGACAACTGAGGACCAAGTTGCTGATATATTTACTAAGGCTCTTCCACCTATTGTTTTCTGCAAACATCAATAAGCACTTGGAATGTGCAATTTGTCCTCGCAGGGCTCCCGCTAGGTGGGTGGCAATGGTCACATTGGTGATAAAGATCCAGGTGTGTGAACATGACTGGCTCCTCAATCTATCAGTGTGGGAGTAGCATTAATGACTACTTACAAACTGGATGGAAAGAAATGGAAGTTGAAACTAGTTTGTACTTCAGAGAACTACAAGGTCCTGAACTGACAAACTGCACTCCTTGAAGTTTTTAATGAGAGCTAACACATCACCAAATGGGGTTGGTAAAGTGTTGCTATGTTCCTGGCTAGATACTCTTCTGTCGTAGCATCCAGTAATACTTTGTAATACAATGGCAAGTCCAGTCATAAGGGGAGTGTTAGAGCCACGTGGCGTACAGCCACCTGGCATTCTTTCAGTTTAGGGCTTTCTTAGTTTTCTTTCGTGAGATCTATCCCAGGGGATTGTTCTGGGAGTGTTCTCATTCTCTATAGAGCGCTAGGCTGTGAGGCCTGGCTTCTCTCATCATTGACTTGGTGCTCGTTTGGCCAAGAGTGTTTTTCCAGCTCCTACTCCGTGGACTCCAATCTACTTGCTGCTTACGGGGGGCCTCAGCAAGTCTGATACAACCCGCTCCATGTTCGTAGATGCTCAAGAACTTTCCACCGCGAACCTTGGAACCAAACAGTGGAAGGACAATGGAACGCATGGTCGTCAAGTTCTTGTCCTAGAACCTTTCAAACTGTGGTACCGGCCTTCCAGCAGCTAACTAGCCAACACTTGTCATCCAAAGACGGTCTGTTACTTCATGAGACTCTCATTCAACCAACACTTCCAAGTGGACGAGACCACGGCATTCTTGATGCTTATACTTGAAAGTCGACCAGGCAAGCAAAACAGCACCAAGTTCATCCCATCATCTCCTCTCGATGTTGTGGCAGGCAAGCCAAGTTTTGCCAATATCACCTCATAGTTCATCAAGGGAAATTCATGCCTGTTGGGAGCCAAAGTCAGTAGTGTGCAGCACGCCCCTAATATTCTCCTGGTTAGGAAGGATGACACTTCGTTCCACGTCCAATTCCCGCTATCCAACACCAACACTCTTAAGTCCACCAGACGCGACCTCCCCAATTTCGCCTCCAACTTCCAGTATGTAAGACTTGTAAATCCCAACTTCTTGCATACAACAACACTTGGCAGCGTTAATTGCTGCCATATTGTTGATCTATAGCAGCACTAGCGCACTGTGCTGCCAGCAGTTGCCAGAGGCAATAGCACAGCAGCATGAGGATAGACAAAGAAAAAGAGAAAGAGCCAACCATTGGACTGTCACAGTACTGCTGCCTGAGTCAAAATAGAAAATCGGACACACGAGAAAGAGTTACACGAGCTCACGAAAGCTCATTACTTTACATTGACCACTTGTCACTAAATAGTACAAAGATCTCTCAGTAAAAGCTTACATTTGTTTTAAAAATCGTCGCTCCAAAGGTCTTTCATCATCGACTTCACGTCAATGGATCTTTCCCGGAGCTTCTCCTGCACGTAAACATCCCTCCCAATCTCGAGAATTCTATACTCTACCTCTTCAAGCGGTTTTCCTGCGTAGTTTTCAACATGGCCCTTCTTGAGCACTGTCACTTGGAATCCAGACTCGCTTGCTTCGCGAAGGAGTTCCTGTACAAGCCATAAAAGCATTTAAATCGAATCGTTCGAACAAAGAAAAGCAAAGAATTCCTTACCTTTGGTTCGAATGGAATCACTCGAGCACCAGTGGCTCCTCCAAGCTTGTTGATCTCAGGTACAAGAGTGCGGCAAAAGTTGAGTGCCTCGTTATGATCTTCGAATCCAACCACATGTAGCTTCTCTCTGGAATCGCCTTCCAACGCCATGTTCATAGAATAGAGACCAGGAGAAACTTTCTGCTCCTCATTCTGCAGCATTATACACTGCAAGGGAGAGTAAACAATACATCAGAAACCAAAGGAATAAAAAAATAATCATGCAACTTACCGCAACATATCGCAACTGATGCCACCAGAGAGTATCCGCCTTGAAAGGTTTTGAATCGCGGTACTTGCTGGCCAGACTTTGTAGTGACTGCGTTTTATACTTCTCTTGCATCTTCTCAAAGCGTTTCATCTCCTCGTCGCCAAGAGTTTCACCCTGCTTCCTCGCCTCTTCTTTCAGCTCCGCGTGCCAGCGACGTAAGAGCTCACGCTGCCCGTCAGGTCCCTGGAAAAAGAGTCTCAGCGTTTCTTCCACCTCCTCTTCGGTTAACCATTCGTCCAAGTCCTTTCCAATCTCCTTCAGAAGCCTTCGCACTTTAGGATCCGTCTCCGTGTCATATCTCCGCTGTATCTCTTTCGGCCACACTTTCTTCTTGTTACTTTGCTGCTTCGTTTTCTTCAGGTCTGGTTGATCGGTGCTCGCTGGCTTACGCTTCACGGCGCCGCTACTGCTGCCCGTTACGACTGTCTTTTGCGGATTACAATCCGGTTGCCACTCAGATTTCTTTCTCCCGGGAATCGTCGGTAAAGAATCGTCAGTCTCTTGCTCCTGAGATTTTTTCTGTTTTTTTTGTGCATCGGAAGCTGTAAAGGACAAAAGATAAACGTTAGAACACGAAATCTAGCAAAACATCCGACTTACAAATGCGCTCCATTATCCAGGCCTTGATCGGTTCAGCTTCACTCCCCAGCTCCGTTTCCAGTCCGTTGAAAAGAATATCTTTCGAGTCAGGAGGCATGCCATGGAACAAAGGTTTTCCTCTTCGCTCGTTCTCCTGGGCCTTGAGCAGAATGCACCGCAGCACTTCGTCCTTCTTCCAGATATGTTGTGTAGCAGCAACTTCAGCGCTCGAAAGATTTTCATTGCTGGCTCTTGTTTGTGGAGTATGTGAGCTCGGCGCACGCTGTGGCGAGGACGAAGTCTGAGAGAGTGACGATGTAGTTGGCGAGTTTCCTCCGCGTGCTTATCGGACCGAAGAACTTCGCAAGCTTGTTCATACGTCGTGATAAACCTCGTTCTCTTAGCACTAGCCTCTTGCTTCTCTTCAGTCCTCCCACTAAGCTCTTTTCCAGTCTCCTGGCCATTTATCACCACACCATCGCTGCCTGGAAATTCTGCGTGCTTATCAGAACGAAGAACTTCGCGAGCTTCTTCATACGTCGTGATAAACCTTGTGCTTTCACCACCAGCCCGTTGATTCGTTTCATGTCGCCCACTCAGCTCGTTTCCAGTCCCGTGACCATTGATCACCACTCCATCACTGTCACTCGACCCTGGCTGAGAAGCGTCTGATTCTCGAATGAGCTCGAGTTGCCGAGAAAGCTCCATGAAATCTGGCTTCGGCGTGTTCCTGTCGAGTTCGTCTCCATTCTGCTTCCTCAAAAGCTGTACCCGAGCAGCGGCCGGAAGACGAAGAGGTGGAGGTAAACTCTCTTCAACGGCAGCATCATCACCAACATCAACATTACTCTCATCTATCGTTGCCTGCCTTGCCATGTCTCGAATCTTCGCGATTCTTTCTTTCTCTTCCTCGCTCATCGCAGGAGTAGCAACCGCTTCTACGTGTAGTAGCTCCTCGTCAAAGTCCAGTTTTTCCATCGTTGTCCCCTGGAAAGCTCGAGCTGGCGCTGGGACTTCCACTCCTCTCTCCCTCTTCGCCAAGGAAGAGATGATAGTCGAGACAGCCATCGCCAAGCCAGCCACAAAACCGCCGAGAAGAAAAGGCCGAGCTTGCTGGAGTCCAAAACTCCTCGCTGCTGGAAGCGTCGAGCTCAGCTCGACCTTCGCAAAATTCCACCTTGACAGCATCACTTCTTTGCCCTTGAAAATCCTCTCCAATGCCACGCTCTTGAAAGAAATCGCTGGGAAACCACACCTGGCCTTGGCGGGCGCGTCGCCCACGCCCCATTCTCTCCCAAAACCATCTTTCAATCCCCTGATTCGTACTGCCCTGGTGCCGGCTCTTCGACGATTGCCGCCGCTGCTGCTGGGGATTGGAAGCGCTGGGCGGTAGAAGGAGCTCCCCAGCAGCAGCCCATTCGCCATAAACCCTAAACCCCCGCCACCCACATTGCTCCTCTTCTACAAAAAATGTACGTTTGCTCCTTCCACCATAGCTAGAATTTCGCGTCTCTTTCTTTCCTCTCCATCGTCTCCCTCGACGGACGAGGAGAAGATAAACCCCTCTTTCGTCTCTCTCTCCATCGATGGCAAGAACTTTTCTTCTTCATCGCCTTCGTCTTCCTTGATGTAGAGAATCCCCGTGTATCGTCTCGTCAGGAACACACCACCCCTCGGAGTCGATTCAAAGCCACACTGACGGGAACCAGCGTCGCCACTGGCCACTTCGGTGGAGCTTTTGAGCTCAAGAACCCAAACCCATTCTCCGGCTGCCTCCTCTTCTCCTCCGAGATCGATGCCAAAGTCCGGATTTTCTTCGAGGCCAGGACTGCCTTCTTGAGGAGCTTCTTCGACAGTGCCTCCTTGGATCTCTTCTTGCCGGTGCCTGGAACTTTGGTGGTGTAATCGTCGTCGCTCGTCGCTAGAATCTCTGAGCGTGGAGTTCTCTGCCGGGCCGTTCGCTTTGCCGTCTGCCAAGGTTTTGGAGAGGTTGCGAGCTCGCCACTGTAGTTCTTCAACCTTTTCTTCCTCGTCCCCAGTATCCCCTCCACAACTTCCACGGACACGGGGTATCCGCAGACTGTCTTTCCAGTAATTGTACTGCTGAGCGAAACCACGGGCACGGGTTGCTTCTCATACCGAGTTCGTGGATGTACGAATCCTGCAAGCCAAAGGACCAGGCATAAGAAAAACAAAAAGAAAGAACACAATGTACCTTCTTTCCAGTTCTCCTTTTGATCATCAGATGGACAGCATGCGGTTACAGTATCCTCGGCCTCCACTTTGAGTTTGCCTTTTCCACTACGACATGCCGATGCTGTGCCGACGTCAAACCGCGAGACGGAGGCAGTCGGCTGTGAAGAATTCGGCTCCCCTTTCCTCTGCTTTGTCACCTTCTGGACATCTCCAGCACTGTCCACGACAAGGGATGCCAACGTCCTTGGTGGCATCGACGCCTTCTTCTTGCTCCCCTTCTCCTTTTTCACAGGAGGCTTTTCCTCCTGTGTAATTCCCGTTGGAGAAGCAGATGTATGAGACGGCAGCGTCGTTCCCTCGCATGCCACCACTGCTACGTCCTTGCTGTTGTAACTGGCGCTGTGAGCATCGAGAAAATGCGCTGCGGGTTTATCCTGAGCTGATGACACTAGCTGCAAAGTCTCTTGCGTCGACTCACACTCGTCCGAGAGCTTGTCTTCGCCTTCGCAAACCCCTTCAGCTTTCACTGCCGGATCATCCTGATTCTCATTGTCCCGCTCCAGCGTCTCCAAAACCTGTAAAATCGGTCTTTTCCTGTCGCGCCTTTTGGACGGAGCTTCTTCTGCTCGTCCGGATGACCGCTTTCGCTTTAATGCCTTGACTTGATCTGGGACCGTCTGCTGCATGCTTTCGTCCAAAGGTGGTGCCTCGACCTCGGAAGAGCCATCCAGTCCTTCCACAGTTGTGATTTTGGACGAAGTACCGGCGGATACCAAGTCTTGTAATCCACGCATTCTCGGAAGTAATGCCGCTCCATCCTCCAAATCCGAGGTTTCCCGGTCCTTGGCAGTTTGTGCCTTTTTCTTGGAGACTTTGCGATTGACCCCGCTCGTATCACCATTTCCCTTCTTTGGTTGATCTCCACCACCATCTACGCTTTTCTGCTTGCCTTTGAGTTTTGATTTCTTCCCCCCTGTGCCAACGTACGCGGTCTTCAGCTGCTCGATCTGTTCCTTCTCGAGCTCTATAGCATCTACGATTGCGTCTTCCCTGCGAGCATACTTTTCCCTCCTCTTCGACTGTCCCGCCATTGCCTGAGCTTTCTCGATGCAGTCATCAAACTCCCCGCATCTGAACGGCTTCACTCTCTTCGATTTCTCAATATTGTACCAATCCCTGTAAGAAAAACAAAACCAAAAGAACTTTAGAACCCGAGCATCGGAGAATCAAAAGAGAGCAAGCAATCGCAAAAAGACTAGCACCAAAAACAAAGAAAGAACACGAGAGTGAGAGAGATACAAAAAGAACCAGACAAGGAACTTACACACTTGCATCGTCTCGACCAAGAAGCTTAACCGGAGTTCCAGATCTCGGAGACATAACATTCGATGCTAAGAGCTCCTTCTTACTAATAATTCGTCCAGGCCACCAGGAGCCATTCCTCCGCCTCACCCACACTATGGTCCCTGGAACAGGCTTCACATTGGTCGGAGGCTTCTTACTCGGGCTTGGCATACTTTTAGAAGAATTCTACTCTCTCTTCTCTTCCCGGGGCGCTCTCTCTCTCTCTCTCTTTCTCTTTTTTTCCCTTAAACTTTGAGAGAAATCCCACTTCACTCACCACACAGAGAGAATGCAGGCAAGCCACTTCCCAAGCTGTCCAAACTCGATCGTGTCGTGCTGAATGCGAGAAAAATGTAGCAATCTACTGCTAATGGAACCAACCTAGAAACCCTGGAGCTCGATGCCACACCCACGGCCGACGAATCTGGCGCCGCCTCAAGCTCGGCAGCAGTGCGACAGCTCTGGCCACAAATCCACAGCGCCTTCCACAATCCCTGATTGCTGCGACGCCTCCATTCTCATCCAGCCATATCCCCTACCTTTCTTTCTACTACCACTCTCGTGTAAACCCTAATGCCCAGTAACTCTGCTCACGCTGTGGATTTCTAACTTAAGCAGCCATTGGAGAGCCCAGCCGGATAGAGCTCTTCTTCTCTCCCCTTTGCTCGTCCGGGAATTCCCTGTGGAAGATCTCCCACTGCTGGGCTCGCGAATGAGAGCTGCGGCTTTGGGAGACCATTTCTCGTCAGCTCCAGAGTGACAAACTTCCTCTCCTTGCACAAATTCTCGGCCTTGCCATTGAGCTCGGCGAGCGGTGGCTTGAAAGTAACTTTGCTCGTGAATCCTGGAATGCTGCTACCACTACCACCACCACCACCACCACCATCACCTGTGACTGCCTTTGCTACTGCCGAGCTTGGAGATTTGGAGGTGATGCTCGTTGCTGATATCGATGGCTTGAGCTGGAGGAGATTGTGGGTGTTGGACGGGAGGAGAGGACCTCTTGGTGATGGAGTCGAGGAGATTGCCGAGGAGAGTGAGAGAGCTCGGCTGGTAGTGCTGTACTTGGCGTACTTTCCAAGCTGCGCATCAGTGAGTTGCTGATTCAGCCACCTGGAGAAAAAGCACAAGATCAATCCATCCACAGATAGCTCTAGCAAGAAAGCTTACTGGATCATCTGCTGGTTCGACTTGAGAGATTCCTCGGACTCCTCCATTTTCTTCTGGAGATCCGCTTCCTGTGTAGGTACGAAGATCTCACCTCAGCAAAAGAAAGGAAGCTATAGCTATATTGTAGAGTTACCTTTCTCTTTGATGCTTCAATCTCTATCTTTAGAGCTGCGATTTCCTGCTTGAGAGCAGCAATCTCGGCGACATTCTTCTCGATTGTTGCCTGTCGCTCCTGAAGTAGCGTCTCCTGTTGTGCTGTAACCTGCGTTTTCAGCTTCAACTTTGCCTTGCTCGACTTTATCTCGGCCTGGAGCTTCTCTATCATCTGGTTTGCCTTGTTTGCCTCGGCAACGCGGGCCGCGGCTTTCTCCTCGGCTTTCTCCGCGGCAGCCTGTGCATCTTTCAACGATGACTCTAGTGCCGCCCTGTAGAGCCATCCACAAAAATTTTAGCCTCGCATTCCAAAACACCAGGACACTACGACGAACCTAGTCATAGTGATACTCTCGAGCTGGCCCGATATGTTGCCGATCAGCTCGCTTTTGCTTTGGACCTACAACACATCGAGAAACTCAATTCACTGTCTGTTTCGGTAAAAGAGAGACACCAGTTCAGCGTACTTCCTGCTCCAAAGCTGCCAGACGAATCAGGTTATCATTCAGTTGCTTTGACGAGACTTGGAGTTCTTTATCCACGCTTTTGTTCCTCGTACGTAAGGTATCGCACTCCTGCGGCAACAGATTTAAAAAGGAAAGTAGTCATGGATTTGATGTGCTATACTACTTCACAAACCTGTTGCCTTTCTTGCAACTCCTTGTGCATAAGTTCTAGCTTTGTTTTCAGCTCCGCTATTGTTATTTCCAGGCCATGCCTTGTCGAAGTCAGCTCCCTGACCTGGACACACGCACTCACGAAATGAAGACGTCAAAATTCGACAAGATTTGTTGCGTCACCTGTTTATCCAGATCTATAACTTGGCTCTCGTGTTGTCCGGCTTTTTGAGTCAGTCGGTATTCCATTTCAGCCTTTTCGCGTTCCAGCCGCTCTTTCATTTCCAGGCACTCTTGCAAAGACTACGAGAAAAAAGAAACATTAACAACGATAGGAATGCTTTAAACACCTCCAACCTTTTCTCTCTCGCGAGCCAACTCCCTTGCGTGTTTTACTTGGAGCTCACTAATGGAACGTGATTGCATCTCCTTGGAATCGGCAAGTTCACTGCATGCAAAACGTCACCCTTAACACCCGAGAAAGGAACGATCAAGTGTCTTGCTCACCTGCGGAGCTCTCCAACATCTTGAAGAGAACTCTCTAACGATTCTAGAGTTCTTCGTAGCTTTTCATGAAGATCAACGTTTGCACCCTGCTCGAAACAACGAGGCCCAGCTAAAATCATACAGCAAAGGCAGCCTTACCTTGTACTCGGCAAGTCGTCCGGCAAGGTAGCTCTTGATCGTACTGTCATTTCCTTGTCTAAAGCACAGGGAGAGATGGCTGAGATGCTTGAATTGGTTCGTTTCCACCACACTAAACGTCGAGTCCCCGGTGCGAACGTTAAGTATCGCCAAGAACCTGTTTGATGATCCACATTTGCCATAGCATAAAGAAAAAACTGGGGGACGAAAAACCTTGGCGCCTCGCCAGCACCAGCTCTGATACAATGCTCGAGTAGCTCTATGAATTTGTGGGGAAACGTCCCAAAATCCACAAGAATGCACTGCTCCACCTTGAGTCCCTGGAAATCGTCCTCATTCACTTCCAGTGAGTACAAGAAGAAGGGATCGAGCTCGTTTGTGATCTGGATTTGCAAAACCTGCACGAAAAATTCCCTCGATGAGCTGCGAACTAGAAATCCAACTCTTACCTTTGTGGATCGGCGATGCTTGCTGAGGCCCATGATAATCCGGACCGTGAGCTCCACTAGGCGATCCTCGGAGGGGGACTTGATCCTCACCGGCACGGCCTTCTCGAAGAGCACGGAGCTGCTCTCGATGCCGCCATTGCTAGCGCTGGGCCGAGAAGCGGCGCAAGGATCCTCCATGGGAGCCGATCGATCGAAACCTATTTTCTCGGCGGTAGCGCCCCGAAAGAACTAGATTACTGCGAAGCCGCGAACGCCATTCAAAGACTGGAAGAGCAAAGAATGGGAATAATATAAATCTTGGCCCGCCTGCCACGTCACTGCTACCACATTGCCACGTCATTAGGACTTTCGCCACGTCATCTTTAGGGCTCTTGACGATGGAGGAAACCAAGCTCGAGGTGATGGCGATCGAGGGGCAGAAGCAGCTGGAAATCGCAGTGCAATCGGCGCACCAGATCCTCAACTCTCTCAATGAGGTTCTTAGCAATCCGGCGCTCTGGGAAGGCGGCGGCAAGGAAGAGGCCGGATGGGCGGCGGTGGACGATGCGCGGCAGAAATACAAGGCGGCGACGACTGCCCTGAGAGGAATCGTCGCTGCGATCTTCAACCATCCTCAGGTACCACATTCTTCCCTTCCAATCTCAGAGGAATTTCCATGTTGTGCTCTCGAGAACTCTGATCAACATTTATCCTTGGAAGCTCTGACGAATTCTCTTCTTTGCTCTTAGATGACGAGCTTGGATGTGGATTCCACTGTGGAGAAGGCAGTGGATCAAGCGGAGATTGATAGGCTCCAGAAGCAAACGGTGGAGCTTCGAGAGGTGAGCCAAGCAAAAGCTCTCTTTTTCTCTTGATGGACTGAGCAGCATTTCGCAGGAGATTGTAAGGAAGAACGATGTTCTCAAGCAACTCATCACACAAATGAGGGAACTTGTTAGAGACATTTCAATGTGGCAAACACCACCACCCTCCTAAAGAATTCCACATCCAGAGGTATTTGACTGTAGCGAACCTTTTTGATTTCTAATGTACAGACGCAGTGGACATGGCATCAATGAGGCTTTTGGTGCACTTTGGCGTGGATGCTGTGTTTCGCGACTCCTGCTCGCGCCGCAGCCTAGCTCCGAACCTCTAGAATGTCATCGTCTCGACGCCCTAGAGGGTGACGCAGCTAGGTGATGCCCTAGAGGGTGGCCAGCTAGGTGACGCCCTAGAGGGTGACCAGCTAGATACGTTTCCCACCGACGCCGCAACCATCATTTTTCAATCCGAATATTGTAACACGTATTGCACGAACGCGCAAACGGGTTGGCTAACCTGCATGAAATTATGGATACAGAACAGAGGCGGCATGAGCAAAATACAGAGCTTGCAGTTATGGCCAATCTCGGTGCGCTTGTCCCTGCAGTTGTCAACGAGGTGATTGGGCTTGCCAAGTCTGCTATTCATTGCAGCCTCCCGTTAAACAGCATCCTGTTTCAATCTGTCTCCACCTATGTGGCAATGATGTGAAAATGTTTAGATGGCATTTGTATTTTTGTATCATGTAAGAACACGCATTCCAAACCCAAAACATGGTCAGGTTCATGATCAGTAGTATAGTAGTGGAGCAGGTTGTGGACAAGTGTGGGGCCTTTCACTGGTCTTAAAGGTAATTGGCAGAAGAATGGCAGCCACACAAGATTGGGACTATGTTCAAAGCGAACTCAGCGATTAACAACTCTTGATGAGGAACACGAGGTACTGCAGCGACTCAAAATGGGGTACGATGCATTGTTACCTCTTGGCATCCAGCAGCACTTTCTCTTCCTTCCTGCGTATGCAGAAGACTGGCGAATTGGATTTTGGGATCTATTCAAATGTTGGAAAAACACAGCAGAGGCGGTGAATGTTCTAGAAAGGCTCAAGAATCACGCACTTATCACTGAAGAAGATTATTCTTATTCAGGTGCACGGTGTAAGAGGTACAGGATTCATGATGCAGGCCCCAAGTGTTATTTCAAGGCTGGGTGGTGGCAGAGAGATGCGGGGACGCCTTAATGAGTAATTACAGCAAGATTTCTCTGTTCTTATGTAGCATTTCTAAAGACATCTTTCTACAGAAGAACAGGATCAGAGTCTCCAACACCACTTGCCTGCCCCTGGATCAAAATCCCGCTCTCACTGCATTGCCAAGCCTCTCTCTTTTCAAAAGCTTCAAGGTACTTTGCCTTAAATTCACTGGCCACATAGCATTCAAGAATTTAGAGACCCTGGATTCGTCCTGGGATGAATCACTCGAAAGCATTCCAGGTCCACTCGGAAAGCTGACCAAATCTGGACTTGACAGGTTGTCACAAGCTAGAGCATTTCCCTGTCGATGCATTGCTCAAACTCACCAAGCTGGGATACCTTAATGGGCTGAACAATTCAGCAATGCCACGATGCTGCATCATCAACTTTTCAAACATAAGAAATGCTCAAATCGGAAGCTTGATGGTCCACAAGGACAAGCATCTCGATGGAATGTTTCAGGCCTTCACAAAGTTGGAGGTGTTGATTATTGAGACAACGCTGGCCGTGGAGCTACCTACAAGTATAAGCAAACTCTCGCATTTGAAGGAGTGGAAATTAACTGGTTACATAACACGATCTTCAACGGTTGACCAACCTTGAAAGATTGACACTGTGGGACGGGACTGGAGCAGATTTCTGAGGTTGTGGAAGTGGGAGGGTTTGGGGAAAGTGAGTTTAAGGTCACATGGAGAATTTAGGTACGTATCACCTTGAGGAGCTTCCTTCTTTAACAGAAGAAACGTTTCCCATGGTGACAAGGCGATAAGGGTAAGCATCCCAAATAACACTTTTCAGTCCGATATCGTTACTCCGTTGCAGTAAGATCAGAGAAACTTTCTCTAGCTTTGGAAAGAACGAGGTGGAGAGGTCCTTCAAGGAGTGACAGCTACCGATGTTGAGGACCGCCATGGTTGGCAGCCGAATCAAGTTTTGGCAATTCCAAAGGGAGAGGCAGGTTCCTACGACTTGAAAAAATATCGCTTGAGGAATATGAACATCTTCCAGATGTCTCTCTAGATCTAGCTGCCATGCATGCGTTCCCTGCGAATAAGGCGGTGTGATGTTGGGCAGCTACCAGAATGGATCGAAACATAGACAACGTTGAGAGATCTGAAATTATGTGAATTGGAAAATTTGGATGTGATACGATGGTGTTGCAAAGCTTCCTTTGCTAAGGAGGCTTGATCTGACAGGTTGCAAGAAGATCAGCATATTACTATCTGCAGATTCCGAGGACAGCTCCTTCTGTCCTCAAACTTGACTGGCATATCCGTATTTGAAGAGCACCTCTCGCAACGCCTTCAAAAAGTTCTATGAGATATGAGAATTTGCTGGAGTCTCTTCTCAGGGAACGTACCGGTTGCATGACGGCTTGCGCTAATAATGCCTGCTCACAGTCAATCTGGCTGGCGACACGGGTACTGGAAACCTGGGAAAGTCACAAGCGAAGTACCAAATATACGCTTAGCTTTCAGATGTCTATCTGAAGTGATGAGCTCGTCGTGTGTCTAGGCAGCGGTACTGTTAGCCCGTTTCCTTCTTTGTGTATCCTCGTGCTGCTGACTTTTGCTCCCAACAGGATTTCCGTCATGAACTTTCCCTTGATTTGTGTTCAACTTGCAATCACTGCCTCGACTTCTTGGACGACTTGTTCTTTAGCTGCTTGTTTTGAGGCGGCCTTTTCTTCGCTTCGCCCTTGTTCTCGCTGCTCTTGACGCTCACAAGGCCACTCTTTGGAACTTTTCCACCCAGCGCTGCCTCGAAATCAACATCGTTCCCACCGATTGCAAAGTGTTGGAGAGATTCAGGATTCAGCATCGAGCTCACTTTCTCCTTTTGGTCAGCCTGTAACACTCCACTCGTCAAAAACAGAAGACAGGATTACTAGAGAGAACCAAACCTTGACTTTGGCTGCTGCTTCCTCTAGATCTTCGTCCACCGACACTGCGTGGGGATTCATCACCACCTTTGTAAATAACAACGTTAGTAAAGAAACTTTTGGTAATACCTCACGACTACCTCTCTTAACCGAGGTAGTGTCTCCTCGATCTCTTTTGCAGCGGCTTTGTGTAGCTGGCCGTGCAACTTTCGCACACTCTTATTAAACAAAGCCAAGACCTGATTGCGAGGAAGATCCAATGCACTCTGGCAAACAAAATTCTCCATGGCTTAGAGACAGCCTCGGGTTCAAAAGAAAGGAAGAACAAACCTCCACAAAACTTATATCGTGTTGCTGGAGACCAATGCATAGCAATATGGCAGCTTGACAAGCAGATAAAGTTACGGGTATGGTTCTCATAAAATACAGTCGAGAAATCGTTGGAACTAAATCGATTATCTGCAGGGAAACTTAACAACACCACAACAGGAAGAGATAACAAACACACGTACCAGATGGTAGTCAGCGAGATTATTTGCATATGACTCTAATCGTTTCATGTCATAGGGTGTTAGGAGTGCATTTTTGCCTCCCAAGATGCCTTCGGTCGATATTGTCTCCTGAGATTCTTCATCGAAATCAATTTGAGGTTTCAAGACGCTAGTAAGGTGAGAAGTCAGATAACACGCAGTTATTTGCTGGAAACGTACCTTAGAGCGAGTCCAGGACTGAACGATCGAAAGGTTGAGCCCAACAGCGATATAAACCTCCGGGAGAAATCTGCAAAACATGCTAGTATCGTGAAAGGTCTGTACAGTAAAATACTACCTTCATTGAAAGGTCTAACCCAGCTTCCTTGCTCTGCCGTTGCGGTATCCACTTCGCCAATTTCTGTTGGCCTTAAGACCACACAGCTATGTTCTCCGGTTATGGCACTCTGCAGTATAAAGGTTCAGTTGGCAGACAGACAGTGCTTCAAAAGCTCACCGGAATTTGCGAGACATAAACAGGCACAAATTTGAGCTTTTTCCAGAAATTGTGCAGTTGTTGTGTGAGGCCATATGATACACCCACATAATGGACTTTTTCCGCGTTTCTTTCATGTAGACCAACTAACAACGGCGGAAGATTTGCTCTTGGTTTGATTTGTTCCTCCAAAAGCGAGATCTGAAGAGAAAACTGTCCGTCGATATTCCAAAACTATGAAACTCAAACCTCAGCAGCAGCTTCAGCAACTTTCACAGGGTGTTTATGAACCACATCATCTTCATCGTCCTCTTCTTCCAAATCGGTAAACTGGCCCTCGTAATACCTGCAATCCATATCAGACAAATCGACATTAATTTTCTTCAATTAATCTTTACCGGACTAGAAGGTTGACAGCCGCAGAACCATAGCCGGCCTAAGTACCATCCAATTTTTAAGCGCCAAAATGAGAAAATAGAGTTACCTTTATCAAGTTTGGATGGACTGCAATTCGGACAATCCTAGCACCAGACAGGCTCGGGAACTCCGAGTCTTGAAACTGTTGAGAAACTTTCCAGGGTATTTGATCTCCCGAAGGAGACGAGCCATCGCTTAGGCTTTTCAAAGCGGATTTTCTCGATATTTTTCCTTCTAAGCAAACCTTGAGTCGCAGTGATGGTTAGAAAAAAATTACAATATACAACAGTGCTTACCTGAATAACGCACAAAATATCAGGAAATGTGTTTTGTGTCTCATCAACAGGCCCTGCAACAAGTGTGAGCTTTGTACAAATCACGGAAGCGTTACCAAGAAGAACGAACAGATGATGTGCAGGCGCATCAGACAAGAGCTGCAAGTCATTTGGTGTGTTTTTGTAGTGCGAAGCCACGTATAGGGCCATCATTCTCTGTTACAAAAAGATTAGACTACTTCTTTAGAACATGATAGCTTACTTGCAAAAAGAGCTCGCTCGCTTTATGATAGGAAAACAAAGTATCCCGGTTGACATAGAAAAGCCGGCATTCACTAGGAGGCGGCAACCTGTATAAGAAAAATTCAATTATGGCACTTACTGTTTCTAGCAGTTTTGATCCTACCTTCCTTCGATACTTGGAATATGATCGGCAGCATTCAGACAAAGAAGCTCGTGCAGCCACCCTTCAATAGGATCGCCAGCTCCATACCTGATGGGCTCGGCCAGCTCAACCTCGCGGAAAACTCTACCTGTAAAGGTTCACGTAAAAAACTGTATGCTTTCGCAGAGAAGAAAGTACTAGTTCACCTGAAGGAGCAGATTCACTCTTTCCTTGACTACGGAGCTGCTGGATTAATTTTAGTGACAAGGAACGGCCAGTCCCTTCATATCTGCATCAGATATAATCAGGATAAGTCATCTAACAGGACATTTACAACGTACCCGTTAACTGTAGAGCACATGAACACTAAGTATGGCCCTAGCAGTGCTTTTACCATGGGAAGCGGTATCGCTGCGGCCTCGTCGATAATAAGTAACTCAGCCTGTGCAAGCTTTGCATGATCTTGAGGTTGGATGTACTGCAAAAGGGATAGCTTGGTTAGCAAGAGAAATAACGAGTAAGGATGTACTTGTATGGTTTGTCGATGTTGACGAAAGATGTTTACACGGACCACAGCTTTGTTGAATGCTGGATTGGTACTTTGCACGAGATCATAATCTATGTGTTCCTGAGAGAGAGGGAAAAAATCCCAGTGTTGAAGACAAACACAAGAACAATGCCAACCAGCAAACCTTGTACTCAAGTGCATCAAAGCCTTTGCATACAAACTCAAACAAGGTCTTCAAGTTCTCTGGGCTTGGAGCTGTGACAAAAATGTTTGAATACCTTCAAGATAAAATGACACGAAGTCAAAACAGAAACGTACGACAAACCATAACACGCTTACCCAAAAGCTACTGCACCAGCAATAGCTAAACCAAGAGCTGCAGATTTTCCTCTTCCACGAGAAGCGGTTAAGGCTACGGTACTTCTGAGAGTTTTCTCAGAAATAGCATCTAGGAAAGTTACGACGGCTTTTCCCTGGAACAGTTCGTTAGGCTAGCGAGATCGAAATAAGAACAATGTGCTCACCTGGTCTAACGTTTTGCATTTGCTCACTAACGGCCCTGCAGGTTGTGTGTCGACCAGCGAGTCTTTGAGCTCCTTCAAATCCTTTTCTGACTCGGTAAGACCTTCTTCGCCCTGTAGAGACACACGCTGAGAGGCTGATCATTGTGACAGCTAGCAATGTACCTCCAAAACAGGCAGAGAACTTATTGAGCGGACATGGGAAGATACTTGTAAGATGTTAAGCTCGTCATCCATAAAAATGCAAGCTTTGCAAGACGCAAGGGACAAAATAAAGCGCTCATTGAAGCGGGCGACCACATCTTCATGCGACTCGGTCCGGAAACGAGAATGAACGTCCTGAAATACAATCGAAAAGCATGGATGCCACAATTGGATAAGAAATAAAAGATTTTACCATCATCATAGTGTACAGGCTAGTCAAAGATGACAAAGAGCTTAGCAGCAGCAGTATAATTCCCCCACCCTCCACAGTCTCTATAGTTCGTGCGAGTAAGTTGGGAGTCAATGCTTCAAAGTCCTGGAAAAACATCCTCGTAAGAACTGTGAGTAAGGAAAAGCGTAGCGCGCGCTAACCTGAAGGACACACATCCCAAACGTGTTTCCCAAGATCTTCTCAGTTTCGGCGTAGTAGCAGTACCGAATGCTGGTGCTTGCCACAAAGAGCGAGAAAGGATCGTCTTTCTCCGCGTCCAGCAATCCCCTCTTCATCATCTTTTTTATCTGCTTCATTCGCTTCTTCTTGTGGCTAGAAAAGAAATTGGTAGGGAACAAAATCTCGGAGGAATGCAGTACCTGCTGAGGAACAAATCCTTCTTGTAACACCATAGCACCGACGGCCGAGATTTGACAACAGCCTTGGAGAGCATGTAGTGTAAGTTCACAACCTGATCCAAGAGAAACCTCAGAAAATCTCGCAATCGCTACCGAAATCTTGCAGACCTGATCCCTGTTCTTGTCCCCAACGACGACAAACAGCGATCGATGCCGCGACTTGACGCCATTCTCGATCAGCGTCCTGATCCGGCTGTCCACTTTCTTCCTCATTCTCGCCCTCTCGCAAACCCCTAAACCCTAGAAAGCCGGAGGAGCCCTAATATCCAATCCATCCATTTCTTATTTTGTTTTTCTGGGACGGAATCCATCCATTTGGTTTCGTGCATTCTCCATTCCATCGGGGGAATTTCCAGCGCATTCCATCGCCATCGCGGCCTTCGAGTCGGTTGCTTGGCGCTCCACGCAGCGAGCGTGCGCGGCGCCGCCAAATCTAGGCAGCAACCGGTACAATCCGCCGCGCAATGGCCATGGAGGAGGAGGATTCGCAGCAGAGGTATGTGGATTCGCTCAGCAAATGGCGTCGGAAGGAGGAGCAGTGCTGCGATGGATGCCGGATTGCTCGTTGCGCATAGGGTTTTTGGTCAGGATTACGCGAGATTGGGATAGAGATAGATAGCCGAGATCCAATCCAAACGATGGGGAAGAATCAGGCTTACAAGGCAATGCAACGGGCAAAGATGTCTTCCCACACCGGCAGTGTAGCGGATGATCTCGACGACGGACTGGTAGGTGTTCTTCCATACACCATTTTTTTCTCGCATTCTCTTATTAGATTCTTCGTTTGTTTCATGTTCTTGGTCGCTAGTTTCTTTCGGGATTTTAGTTTTTCAAGTTTTTCGTGGAAGAATGGGTGCTAACAAATCTCGTCACAGATGGATGGATCATTTCATTCACCAGAGTGGCATGCTGCGCGTTTGGCAAGTTTGCAAACTTCTCACACCATCACTTGGGAGGAATTCAAGCGGAAACAAAAGGTTCACTCTCCTCTAGACTTTGCAAAAAGAAAAAAAAAGTTCTTTCCTCCACCTTTATATGCCGGCGAGCTTTGTCCTGAGATACGCAAATAACTTGATCCTAGGAAGAAGCAAGGAAGCAAAACGAGCTTGAAGACGGTGAAGCCAGAATGATGAGAGAGTACAGAGCTCAACTTGACGCCGAGCGCGCTGCCAAGCTCTCACGGGGACGGAACCATGTTGATAAGCGAGACACCAGATTTAAGAAAGGTCAGTATAAGCTTTCGCTCCAACTCTTAAGTTTTCCTCTCATTCTTTTCTCCCATCTCGTTCCTTGTTGCATAGGGAAGAAAGACAAAGACAAAGACAAGGACAAGGACAAGGACAAGAAGAAGCCCAAGCGAAAGGTAATACTTTCATTCATTTCTCTCCTCGCTTTGCTTCAGTTTCTTACTGCTGGAAATGCTCAGAAATCAGAAAAGAAGCGACGGAAGAGCGATCTAGACGCTGCCGAGGAGGATGGAGCGAGCTCCTCGGCGAGCAGCAGCGACGACACTTCAGAGGCAAAGAAGGACAAGCGGAAAGTCAAGAAGGAGAGGAAAAAGAGGAGGAAAGCTATGTCCGAGAGCTCGGGCTCGGAGTCATCTTACAGCGACGACAACAAGAAACCAATGCGCTTGTCAACGTTTTTCGACGGCGGCGGCGGCAATGCGTGACGCGCTCGCTCGCTTGATAGCTCGAAGCAGGGAAGAAATTTTTTTTCTTCCTTTTCGTCCTCACCAAGTTTTTTCCACACAGCCAGCAGCAGTGTGTGATCATCTCAATCAAAGCAGCAGCAGCAGCATCAGCTCGTGCGATTCAGCATAGAATCACTGGGACTCGATAGAACACCTTTTAGATCTCACAGAGGTTCGTTTAACGAGAAAGAGACAATATACCAGGGAGCATTCTCCACTGTATATTAGTGAACATCCAATGAAGAAAAAGAATTTAGAAGTTTCTTCCATTTGATGTGATCCAAGACTTTTGGAAAGACCGGAAGTTCTTTAATTGTACGCATAGAACCTCCATTTGCGATTTTTCTTTCCTACGCACCCACAACGCAACACTCACACACACACACGCACGCACGCGAAATCACCAAAAGGAGATCCTTTTCCTTTTTTTTTCCTCTCCAAATGGCGGCGGCGGAGCTGCGTGGCTTGGAAAAAACGCAGCAGCACGACGAAAACGATGGCGATCGATCGATGCTTTTTGTCGGTGTGTACAGGCGAATTCGTAGCGTATTGTAGCTATACGTGTTGTCAAATCAATATCAATTCGACGAGGGGAAGATGCAAGATCCATAGCCTGTCAGTCAATCCAAATCGTAAGCTCGAAACTCCAAAAACGAGCAAAGAAACTCCAAAAGCTTACTTGGATTGATCTTCGTTAGAGCCGCCGTGCTCGAGAAAGAGCACTGATTCTCTCGGATCCAGCGACGATTAAAAGCGTAGGAGGCGTGCGCGATGATCGTGTTGGGATAGAAGCACGACTGCCCGTCCTGGATCGCAGCGCAGTCACTGGGATTCTGGCTGCAAATCCTGTCCAACTCTCTCTGGAGAGAGCTCGTATCAGCATCCGGCCTGGCGACGCACCACGAAGAAGAAGACGAGGAAGAATTCACGACCGCAACCGACATGGGCTCTGGCACCGCCTCGTACTGCGAATCCGAGAGCCTGCCCGTGAGATCGATGCTGTAAACCGGCCGCCCATCCGGGTAGAGCAGCCCCCAATGCCGCTCGATGCCAGGCCCGGGCTTGAGATTCTCGTTGTAGAGTGCGAAGATGAAAGTCTCTATGGCGCTGTTAGGCCTCTTTGGTGTCCCTCTCCCCTCGACCACCTTCCTCACTAGCCGGCGATTGTAGGTCGCGGCGTTCGATCGCGTAGCGCCCCTCTCGTTCTCATCGCCGGCATTCGGCCACCCCGTCTCGCTGATCCCGAGCTCCACATCGTCAAACCCTAGATCCTCCATCGCCGAGAAGGTCGCGTCCGTCATGGCGTCGAGCAGATTCGTGTACCTGAGCTTGCCATCGCGAACGACCGTGGCGGCGGGATCGAAGAGCGCGTAGCCCAGGGAGATGTTGACCGGATTGCCCGCCCACGCGAAATAGGGGTAGAGATTGATGTAGAATGGCGCCCGCGTTGTCCGCAAGAACCCTAACAAGGGCTTGAGCACGGTGTCGCGGATGTCCGGGCGAAATCTCCCCACGGATGGGGGGTAGGACGCCGCCAGCACGTCCCCCGCGACCGAGGTAGTGATCTTGATGCGATCGTCGAGGTTGTGGCTCTGGAGCGAGCGGTGGAGGTTCTCGATCGCGGGCATGAGCTGCTGCCACGTCTGGGCGAGGGCTGGATAGGAGAAGATCTCGTTGCCGACGACGATGACGATGATCTGGGTGCTGGGGTAGTAGGGCAGGACGCTCTGGGCAATCCAGTCGTCGGCACTGGATTGAGAGGAGGCCACGGCGCCGATGATCTCGTTTGGCACCATGATCGTGACGCGAATGGAGCTGTTGGAGAGGGCAGTGAGGACTTGGGGATTGGCATCGAAGAGCTTGACGAGGCGGACGTTCATGGATTTGAGCAGCTCCACCGTCTGGTTTGGGGAGGGGATGTTGTCCGAGACTCGGCCATAGTTCACACCGATTTGATCAAGCCCACTCCCGGGAGTGCTGCTGCCTGGGAAAGAAGAAGAAATCAATCGCGTTCTCCCTCGCTCGATCGATCGAATTTTTTACCTGGTGGATTGACGGCGATGCAAATGTGGAGGAGGACGCACAGAGGAACCACCATGGCCGCGGCGAAGAGAAGAAGAAGAAGAAGAAGGGGGGAATTTCCAGTGGAATCGATGGATGATCGGCGTGAGAGGTTGTTCCACTTTGGAGTTCCTGGCGGTGGTTTTCACCGACCATGGAAGCTGATATTTTTCTTCTCTCTTATTTTTTCTGATTTTTTTCCTTGCAGGGCTCGACAAAAAGATGGGCTGCGCTCGCTAGAATCCAAATCCAAATGGAAATCGATTCGAGAGGTGGGATTTGAGGAGAGGAAGGGGCCTTTCTTGACTGCCCGGAATGCCTTCCCACGCTGTGACGTTTGCTCGGGCCCCTCTCACGCGTTTGCCGCTATTTAACTTTCGCGTGTGCCCTAAAGTTTAGGGGACCTCTGTTTTAGGGCAGAATCTTGGTGAGTCAAAATCAAGGGGAATCTGTGTGGAAGATGAGGAGGAATATGTTTTTCAAGTTCAACGACGGTACATTCTTTTTCTTTTTCTTTTTTGCTTTTTTTTTTCCTTTCTGATTTAAAAATTACTTGCAAAATGCCAATGTTGAAGGTGGGGCAATTTACTGGGAAGTGCTTTCAGCATCATTTAGCTTTCAACTATACCATAAGCGTAAGAAACACAGCAGCTTTAGGTACCTCAAAAGTTTGGATGATAAGTGTTGCACAAAGTGATGGGATCGTCCATTCCATCCCCTAGTCATGATCATTCAAGGCAGTTGAGCATTGCTTTGCATCAGTTTTCAGAAGAGCTAAACATGTAATGTGTTCACCTCATGAAAAGCATGAACTTATTCACCAAGTGTTCACGCTTGAAAGAGAAAGATCATCAAGAGTACCACTCTTCAACCTTGTCGTATAAACAACCATGCAAGATCAGCTTCGTTTCAAGATCGTATAAACGTATTGATCGAGAGCTTGTATTATTTACAAAAGGTGGCAACCCTGTGGCAATCTGTGGCAATCTGTGACTGGTCACTGCGTGAAGGCCTCGGCCTGCAGCATCCCGTTGCGGATCTGCTCGGCAACGTCCCGCACGGCACCGGGTCCATGCGGCAGGAAGACGGTGGACGATTTGGAGGTGGCACCAATCTCCTTCATGGTGTCGAAGTACTGCGTCAAGAGCACCATGTCCATAACGTCCTTGGCGCTCGTCCCTGGAACGTTGTGCGAGAAGGCCAAGACGCTCTCGCGGAGGCCGTCCACAATCGCCTGGCGCTGCCTCGCCACTCCCACGCCGGACAGATACTTGGACTCGGCCTCCGCCTCGGCCCGCTTCACCTGGAGGATCTTCTCGGCCTCGGCCTTCTCGTTGGCCGCCACTCTCAGCCTCGCAGCTGCCACAAAACAAAAGAGCAAACAGTGTTAACGGGATCCCCAAAGTAACGCGCGGACAAAGTCCGGAAGAAAACATAAACAAATGCATAGGAATAGTTGATAAGAATAGAACCTGCGTTGATCTCGTTCATGGCATTTCGAACAGTTTTGTCCGGCTCAACGTCGACAATCAAGGTCTGGACGATGCGATATCCGTATGCGGCCATTGCCTGCCACGATCGAAAGGAAGGAGTGAAAATCATATAACAAGAAAAGAAAGGACCTCTAAGAGAGATCAACTTCGAAGAAGCGCATCTAACAAGACCAAAGCGAAGAAGAAGAGGCTCAGTACCTTTTCGAGCTCGTCCTCGACAGATTTGGCAACTTCATTCTTCTGCTCAAAAACATCGTCCAGAATCATCTTTGGCACGCAAGCGCGGACGACTGCAAGGAAACGATTTGAAACGAGCAAAGTCAAACGCAAAAAATAAAATACAAACCATCAAAGACATAAGCTTGGATTTGCTCCCGCGGATTAGAGAGCTTGTAGTAAGCATCCATGGCGTCGGCCTGGACCACCGCATACTGGACCGATGCTACGACCGTCACAAAGACATTGTCCTGGCAGGCAAGAAACCCCCCCAAAATTCAGCCCAGAGAAGCCCAGAAGCCAAGAACCCTAACCTTGGTCTTGGTCTCGCAGCGCACATCCAGCTGCTGGATCCTGAGATTGAGAGATCCAGTGATGTTGCTGCCAAAGATCCAAGGGACGCAGTGGCATCCGGGATCCAGGACCTCGTCGAATTTGCCCCATCGCTCCTTGATCGCTACCCTCGACTGGGGCACCTGGAAGCAGCAACACATCTGGCCCATGATACTAAAACCCTCCACGCCTAAAAACATTTGAATGGTGGAATTTATTTCCCACGCCTCCTGCCGATCCAACGGTCACCGGTGCATCCATCCAACGGCGTCGAGAATCAACGCTTATCTTGTATTGAAAAGTCAGTCGAAAATTCGACTGTCTATTTCTACGCGCCTTTTTGTTGTTTGGTTGCAATTGTACTTTGAACTTATGGGAACTCTCAACGAAACAACACTTTTACGATTAAACAAACGTTTGGAGAGTCAACCAGCAAATGTTGCCTGCCTTGGAGTCCTTTTTTGGGTTAGATCTTAAGTGTTCACGGAAACTCCTAGAACCAGTCGTGATAAAATCACGTAATAGTGGGCATTGAACAAGTGGTCGAACCAAGCAATGCCCACTTTCACATCCAAAGAGCTGCAAAACAACCAAAGTTTCCAATGAAGAGCTGTGGTTGTCAAAGAAAGAGCTTGCTTACCTTGACATTAGGAGACACCCCAATGTCAAACTCTGTGTGAGGATACTTGAAAGATTTTGTCCTTTCAGGATTTTGGTTTAGATTTAGCTTTTTGCATTGTCTAGATCTACCATTTCTTTCCAGCTTTTTTGTCAACAATTTTATCTTTGACTTGCAAACTTGTAAGGACAAGCTTTACATACTCCCCTTCAAAAAATAGAGAAGGCTTATTATGAATATTGTCCTCTTTTTTCATCTTCATGTGTAAAGCTTTAATGGTAATGTGCTTGCTTTGTAAGCAAGAGGTCATGAGTTACTGAAAGCATAATATTCTTTCTTTTCCATGGCTTGGAGATGCAGAACAATCAGCTGACATGGGTGACATACTATGATGTAGTAAGGGCTGATGCTTAAGCGATATGATGTGGTCCTGTGGACATTGTTAAAACAGTCAATGGGATTAGACTCAATTGAGAAAAAAATTTTAAAGTACATATATGATGGGGCATCCGGAAGCCATATGAGGGCCATCACAGGTTTCGTGGGTGGTCTGGACCTCGTGGCGGGAAGATATGACAACCAGCATCACTCGGTCTTCCATACGCTCAATGCCAAGCACAAGGACATTCCATTATATTCATCTTAGCATTCATTAACCCCTTAAAAGACAATCTTTATTATGATGGTTTGTTTAGGCTTATGGCAACAAAAACAATTGCCTTTCACTTTATCTTTTTTTTGTTAGTGTTGCAAATGTAATTATGGGTATCAAATGTTACTTATTAGCAAGTCTTTTTGAATATTCTTTTTTTTACTGTCACAACAGTAGAATGTTAGTTTTATTAGATCCTTTATCCCAAGCTACTTGAGAAATTGGTCATTATATATGTATGCAAGATAAACATAAGGTAAAAACTTTCTATGTGTTTCTTATTGAGTAAACTCAACTTGGTATGAGAAACTCATATGTTAGCTTGAAGTTACTAGTGTTGAAAACCCTTTTTAAATGATTAATTTTTCTATTTTACTTTAGTCACTTTTGATCACTTGGAGGAGTCTTACTCACAACCTTTATAAATTCTATTCATAACTTGGGGGCTTGTTAGCTTTGTGAATGGCTTTTATACCACTCTACCTTTACACTAGATTCAAGTGTTTCACATTTTTTATCCCACTACAAACACTTAAATGTACTATTAGCATATTAGCCTATTATGCTAAAGCCATATCCATTCACCCTTGTTTTATTGGTAGTCTAAGATAACTTGTGCCATAGTCTTGTTTCCCAAAGACATGAGGAAGGGTGTTCCCTATGTCTTTGGGTATCATAATGATGCTAAGCTGAGATCATAATATGATCAATCATGAACAAATGGCATATATCCCTTCTTTAGTCCCTACCAAACCCCTTTCCATACATGTCTATGCTCGCCAAAATTACCATGGGGTCAGGGCTTGAAGCTTGAACCACTAAGTCCCATTGACCACTAGGACTTCCTCACCACATTCTAAGTTTGAAGGATTGGGGTGGCTATTGCGAGCCATGGATTCAATTTACAGTATTTGCCTCTCTAGAGATGGCCTTCAAATTGCTTGCTTGAGGCTTTGGCTAGTTCCTAGGTTGGACAAGTGCTCTAGGTTCTCCACTAGGCTTGAGAGTTCAAGTAAGTAATTCTCTTATTTCGGTGTTGTTTTTTATTTTACCTTTATCATGGATCTTTACGAGTTCTTTATTTGGAAGAGAGCATGATCGAGGATGATGGAAGTTAGTGCTCCACGAGCTTATAGTGAGCAACAGCACCCTGGAAGTTCTCAGTTTCTTCCTCACTGGCTTGGATTTTTCAAGTCTCTCTGACCTAGTGCATATTATCGTGAACAGTAAGTCATTGACATCCTTGAAACTTGGCAAGATCAGCACAGATGTGGTGGATCTTCCAGCAAACATCTTCATCGTGGCTATGGTGGAGCTCTTGCAATTCTATTCTAATATTTTTTCTAGTTTCATCACAGCTCCTCCAAGATCTTGGCCATCAGGTTATGGTCCACGACACTATGAGAGAGACTGAGATAGGGATTATAGGGACTACTTTTGTAGATCACCCCGCTACTCTCTATAAAGGGGTGACAGCCATGACAAATCTTAGAAGGTACTGCAGGGAGAGATCTCATTTGCCTTACTACTACCATAGGGAATGCTCTTGCTCGCCTTATCACATGTACTGATGTTGAACACCACAAGGTTTGCTTACAAGCTTAACTGTGACTGTTTCATTACACCTGCTACAAAGCCTCAGAATTGTTAGAATATGTGGCTGATATGTATGACCTATAATGGAATATTAAAGGTTGCAAACATGGAAGTTCATTCAAAAACATTGTATTGAATAAAGTACAATAGTACTATCACACTAAGCTCTCTACAACTTTTCAATGGTGTCTCTCAATGCTATACCATCTTTAGCTGAATGAAGAGACTTTTATGGAAAGTAGCTTGCATTATGTTTAAATCTGTTAGGGTCAAAATTTTCTATGAGGACATCTAGGCATCTTCATGAATAACATCATGGCATGCTGTGCGCTACATAACTTGATGATTACAAGGAATGGCAGGTTTTAAATCCCTTATGAGCTAGTAATTTTCATTGCCTCTTTAAAATTTCAAAAGATTGCTCAACAACAATACTTGTAGAACAATGAAGGAAGTTGTATTGCTCTTTGCCATGAAACCTGTTTGGATATGGGACCAAAACCAATAAAGCACAATTATATCCTTCATCATCAATGATATATTGTGGAATGTCCCCAAACTTTTTGTGGTACACTAGACCACATAAACACTTATTCTCAATCCATACCTTCTTCAAACCACTAGAATTTCAAACTCGTATATCTGGAACCATGCCTTGAACTACCATTGAGTAGTATTTTTTTGCCTTAGCATACCAATCTGTTACATCCTCTGATCTTGGGAGCTCAATTGCAATGTGAGTGCAATCTATTGCACCACAACAATTTAGGAATCCATGCAATCTTTAAAATCTTGTTATAACTTTATTCATTCCCTCCTTATTCGGCTAATGGATCATTAGTCCTTCATGCTTAAGAAATGCACAGCTAAAATGGCATGGATAAGCTTGAGTAGTGCATGAAGCCACTTTA